AAATTTTTAAAAATGCACAGTCCAGCTGAGAGGCCCACTATAAGTCCACGGCCAGATCCCAGTGGACTTAGGCCCATGGCCTAACTCTGTTTTCCTATTTGCTCTCTGCCCACTCTGGTCACTCCAGCCCCTCCCCTCACAGCTCCCCGTGCCTTATCTTTTCCCCAGTCTCAGTAGAGAAGTCCCATCCTCTGGCCAGCCTGCCGGCCCCTCTAGCCCCTGGGCCTTGGACCCCTCTCCCTTTCACCTGTGCTCCCTACCCATGTCCTACACTGTCCCAGCCACAGACAAGGCTGTGTGCCAATACTGAGCTTAAGCTGAGAGAATTAAACAGCATGGATCCCGCACTGGGACCACCAAATGGCATACCGTTGAGGGCTATAGAAACAGTACATGTATGAGGACAACAAGATAATTTAGGGTTGTGGCTACCTTGGGAGGGGGATATAATTGAGGGAGACCATATAGGCAGCTGTCAGATACTGGTAAGGTCCTATTTCTTCAGCTAGGTTGTGGATACATGGGAATTTATTTTATTGTGATTGTAAAAATATCCTGTGTTGTGCTGGGAATGTTGTTGTGCCGGAAATCGAACTTAGGTAAATGTTCTACCACTGAGCCATATTCCCAGCCCTGGCATCTTGAAGTTTGATTATAGTTTGTTGTATAAATTGTCTGGAGTATAATTGACCACAGCCATCTCCATGACCAAGGTCGTAGGAGGCAGGCAGAAAACACCTGTCATGCCCCTCCCTCCCCCTCCCCCTTGCCCCCCCCACGGAGCAGGTCAACTTGATTCAGTGTCCTTCCTAGCTCTCTACCAGCCCCTCTCCTGCATTCCACTCAGCTCAGGGCCCCTCCCCACTCCCACCACTTGAGATGCTTCTGTTGCCTTTATGAAGTAGGGAGGGCGTGCCCTGCCTGGCTAAGATCAGGGAGGAAGGGATCTAGGCCCATTATTAACATCTCCAACCCCCACAGCTAGCATTCCAGAAGATTCCCTGGTTTTAGCCCTGTCCCCTCGCTGGATTGTCATCATGACAACCAAGGCTGTCCTAGAGCCTTGCACCAATCACAGATCTGTATTTGGACCAATCACAGGCCTTCAGCTGCTATATAAGCAGCACTCTCCAGTCACTTCTTAGGCTAGTCTGGGAGGGCTCTCTCCAGTGTCCTGACAGTACAGGCTCTGTTAAAACAAAGACTCACTCTGGTGGTTCTGTAAACCTGCTTGTTATTTACTTTCTCAAGCAGTGTGGGCTGCAAATGTCCTGTAAATCTACTCAGGATTTTTATTCTTTTTTCCCCCTGCTTTTTATATTTTATTTATTTATTTACTTACTTGGTACTGAGGCTCAAACTCAGGACCTTATGCTTGCGAGGCAGGCTCAGGGCCACTGAGCTAAATCCCCAGCCCATCAGGATTCTTATTCTGAATAGTGTGAACAGAATGGTTGGCTCAAAAGAAAGCAGTAAGTACTAGGGGCTGTTAGCAATGAAGAGCTCCAGAGACCAGCAGCCAATGAAGACCAGTAGCAGAGACCAACACCTGGTAGAGTTGGCCTACAGACAGTGGCCAGTAACATCAATGACCAGCAGCTGGCTGTGTCAGCTGTTGGCATACAGCATTATCTGGTGTCATTTAGGGGCACCAGGGCTGCTAGCAGAGCTACACTTTGCCCATTCACAATTTCCATCTGAATTGAGCAAAGGAACCCTAGGCTGATTGGTAACAGTAGCAGCCCCATCCAGTGCTACTTTGCCTGTCTCCTTCTGTTCCCTCCCCAAGTTTTGGGAAAAGACTGATCTATTCTCTTTCACTGTAGGTTAGTTTGCATTTAGGGGAGTTGTATGCAAATATATGTTTTTTTATAAATAGTATTCCATTGAATGTTTATACTAAACTTTGCTTACCTATTCATCTGTTGACTGACATTTGGGTTGTTTTTAACTCTTGGGAATTGAAAACAAAGCTGTCAAAAACACATGTACAAAGCATTGCATGGCACACACTCAAGCTTCTCTATGTGAATACTCTGGAGTGGGGTGGTTGGGTCCTATGGAGCGTGGATGCTAAATTGCTTTGCCGTCCTTACAGTGAAACCTAGGGCATTGCACATACTAGGCAACAGCTCTGCCACTGAGCTACACTCACAGTCCTGGGTGTTAAATTTTTTAAGGAACTGCCATACTCCTTTGAGAAGTGGTTGTTCTCTTTTCTATCACCACAGTTGCTCCACATTCTCATCAGTGTGTGGCCTTTTCAAGCTTTGCCATTGTTGGGGGATGTGGTGGAATGAGCTGTGGCTTTCATTTGCATTTTCCTGATGTTGAACCTTGTATCTTGTGTGCATCTGCTGTCCATACATCCTCTTTTCTGCCCAATTCTTTTGCCTGTTTATAAAATTTGGCTGTTTTATTATTGAGTTATGAGCATTCTTCCTATTTCCTAGATAGAAGTCTTTTGTCAGATAGTAATTACTCAACTATTTTTCCCAAGTTTGTGGCCTTCTCATTTTTGTAAAAATATCTTCTGGGAAGCAGAAGTTTTTCAGTTTTTTTGTTTTGTTTTGTTTTGTTTTTGGTACCAGGGATCAAACTCGGGACCTTGAACTTTCGAGGCAGAACCACTGAGCTAAATCTCCAGCTGAAGTTTTCAAGGACTGCGGATTGAATGCCCAGGGCTGCATACATGCTAGGCAAATGTTTTATCCCTGAGCTACACCTCTAGCCCTTGGTTCTTTTTCAGAATTGTTTTGGCTAATATAGATTTTTTGCATCATTTATCTAAATCTTAGGATGTGCTTGTCAATTTCCACAAAATAGGTGTTGACATTGGGATCTCATTGATGCTCTAGATTAAATTGTGGAGCATCGATGTGAGCATATTGAGCTTTCCCATCCTTGAACATGGTCCATCTTCTAAATATTTAGGCCTTCTTTAATAGCTTGCAGCAACATTCTGTAGTTTTTAATTTATGAGAGCAGCTTTTCTTTTGTTGAATTTATCCCTAGGTATCATTGTTTCTGCTATGTTTTTGCAAAATGGTATTATATTAAATGTTCAATGTCTGGTAGTTATTAGTATATAGAAATACAATAAATTTTCCTATATTGACTTTGAGTCCTGAAGCTTTGCTAAACTCACTTATTAGTTCTAATGGATTCCTTAGAATTCTATATATAGACAGTTATGTCATCAGCAAATAAAGACAGTTTTGTATCTTCCTGTATAATCTGAATGCTTTTTATTTACATTTCTTGCTTTATTATACTGACTGGGTCCATTTTTTTTTTTTTTTTTTTTTTTTTTTTTTTTT